CCAACTCTAATGTATATCCCGTGCTAGGCTTCGATTATTGATTATACGAACGGTAAGTTCTGAGCTTTCGTTTTGGGTTTATTGTGTGTGTTGTTGACAAATAAAAAATACCATAAAAAAGCAAAAATACCAACAAAAAATACATTCTCGCTCGCTGCTGCCGCTGCGTCGCGCCGACTCTTGATTTTTGTGCATGAGAATTTATATAATTCTACAAACATATATATTTATTGTATTGAACGTATTGTTGTTGCTATACTACATACATATCGTATATATCTTTTACGTATATCTTTATTTGTTAATCCTCCAATTGTTTTTTACGTTACGCTGCGTCATTACTTTTGAGTTAAATGCTAGCTAGCCTAACGCTCCCCGTTAGGTTAGGGTTCTTTTGAGGTTATGTGCAGGCATTAGTTAGGTTATATTGAGGCCAGTTTGCTTAAATGATCATATACCGTTTAGTCAGCTATAAGCATATAGAGCAAAATGCCAACCAAAAAAAACTTATTTCTATATATGTAGCTGATGAGCACTTGGCCGAGTTAATGCCAATATTTGAGAAAATCCGTGCACAAGACCAAGTCCCATGCGCCTTTCCCATACATATGGGCGCCGGCGGCACAGTATTCGTGCGCTGCAATACCAGCCGCTCGGTACCACTGAGTCCACACGTGCTTCATTGTCATCCAACCACACATTGGGTAAGTCGAACAGAACCTGAGGAAGCAGACGGAAGTAAACCGCACCAGGTGGCAACAGGGCCAGTAGTAGGGGGCATCACCAAACTCCCCAAGGCTTGTGATATTAATATATAATCCCTTACTTCCCTTTAGGTACGCGAGCGTTCCGTTCGCTCAATACCCATGTCCAGGCCATCGCGCTCTTCGCTTTCGGCCAGCACGCCTGATTCGCTCAGCGACAACGAGGGAAGCCATGGTGGACCCTCCGGCCGTTACACGCCGCGCAAGGTCACCTACACGAGCACGCGCACGGGCCTCACGCCAGGTGGCTCACGTGCCGGCTCCAAGCCCAACTCACGCCCGCTAAGCAGACAAGGCTCCAAGCCGCCTTCGCGACATGGGTCAACACTCTCGCTGGACAGCACAGGTGGGTGCATCGAGTTGTCCATTATCCCACACCAATTTAATCCATTGCTTGCCTATATTTTAGATGATCACACACCCTCGCGCATACCACAGCGGAAGGTGTCCGCAGCGAGCACCACCAGCACCGGCACCACACCGCGGCCGGCTCGTCTGTCTGTCGCCACGGCATCCACACCGGGCAGTCGGCTAAATGGCACCAGCACCATCACACGCAAAACCGCTTCCGGTTCGGCAAGTCCAGCGCCCACAAGGTAAGAATTCGAGCTGATACCATTGTTTGGGGTAAAGCAGGGGGTTTTTTTGATCAAAATGTGAACTTTATTAATTTATTTATTTGTTTTTCAAAAATTATTTTCGGTTACTGCATTAACTTTTGACTCACACAACAAAAATACCAACAAAATACCTAAATAATACCGAAACATATTCAACATAATACTCGAAATCATTAATCTACATGCTACTCACACAACAAAAAACAACATTCAAACAAAAAAAAAAAAAAAAAAAAATAAAATGATTGAAACGCTAACTTACAAAATGCATTGGCTTGAATATCATATCGAAATTGAATGCTTGAAATGCAACTAACTGCAACATAAAAAAATACCTAAAATATATACCGACTTGTGCCTGAAACAATCCAAAAATACCAGCAATGGAGGCATGAGTAGATCATCCAGTATCCCAGCACTAACAGGCTTCGGCTTCAAACCACCTACTAGGTAATGCCCAATAAAACAGTGAAAAACCAAACAATACTTAACATATCATTATTTTAAATTATTTTAATTTCAAAACTTTAAGTTAGATTCAGTAAGCTAAGCTAGTCTCTAAGCAGTAGGTGAAAAATATTAATTCTCGGTTATGGTTGTACTTATGCTAACTATTCATATACTAAAGCCGCCCATCACGGATACCGGTTAAGATACCCCTCAACGATTCCAAAACATCATCGCCCACCAGCTCGTCTGCCAATCCAAGCAGCTTGGGGTAAAGTTCCATATATATGCCAACGTATGATATACAGAGGTAGACAGCTCTGTATAATTTATCCACAGTAGAATTATTTCAGCAAATTGTAGAAAGTAATTATTATAATTTCTATACCTAAAATATATTTGTTGTTTCGAGTTTTGTTATTGTTTTTGTTATGGTTAGTCCAGTGCATGTCCACAGCAAGTGCCTCGTTTGTTTTCTAACTTGCAAGCTCGACTAATGATTTAAGTTTGTTTATGTTAATGACTTTGCGGAAGGAATTATATTCTCGAACTGTCTGAATCAAAATTGAATCACATGTATACATATAACAAATTATACGTACTTTTTCCAGAAAGGATATTCTGATTTAAACTATAATAAATATACCTTTACCTTTACTACTTCAAATATTTTCATTTGACTATATTCATATTATATTCATTTTTGTAGCTTAGTCTGTAAAGCAAAGAAAACAAAATGAAAAACAAAATTAAGTTACATAAAAAATAAAATGTAAAAGATTTAACTAAGTGAATCTACTTCCGCAAGCTCTGCAATCTTCGGCAGACCGAAGCTAGTTTATTATATGAAAATTTATATACATATATATATGTTACTTTACCTTGTTCAATTGTTAAAGTTTCTTTTTTATGTATTTTGAATAGCTTTTCTCATATATTTAATTGATTCCCTTTTCACAGACGCAACATCAGCGGCAGCTCCACGCCCTCGGGCATGCAGACGCCGCGCAAGAGCTCCGCGGAGCCGACGTTCAGCTCGACGATGCGGCGTACATCTCGCGGCACCACGCCTACAGAGAAACGCGAACCGTTCCGACTTTAAGGCGGAAGCAACAGTTGCCAATTAATATAAAAAAAAGGAAAATATTTCATAAAAATACTAACCACGCACTGAAGTTCTTTCAACTAATCAACCCGATTGTGAATTAGCCCCCTGACTCTCTACCCATCAGACTCAGAGACTACATTGATATAGAAAATGTAGCAACAGGAACCATTTAAAAAAGACGCTTCCAATCGATACAAAACTCTAAATTTGTATGGAACAGCGCCAAGAATATTTCGAAATTTGGTAAAGCGTAAAAGACACACAAAAAAAAAAAAAAAAAGAAAAAAAAAATTAGGATTGCGAAATTTAGTTTTTATAGCAACCGTTATGAAAAAAGCTATTCACACAAAAGTTGAGAAAACTAAACACGACAAGTCATACTAACTAAAATGAGAACCTTTTGCTACTACTAATATTTAATGCCTTCTATTTACTAGTTATACTTAAATATGGATTTCCAAGTTTATGATTTGTATATACTTATATAAAATGCAAAATACACTCCAAGTGCTTTAAGGCAATTCAAAACTAAAATTTAAAAAAAGAAAAAATAAATAAAGAAACAAAAACAAAATGAAAACAAAAAAATTATAAAATTGAAAAACATTCGAATTGTAAGTCGATGCGCACTGTCATTAGTTCCTGCAGTCTCCGATCCCGCTCACAAAATCGCCAGTTTGTGGACGTGTTCTATCTGTGGGTGTGGCAGTGGTGTGTTGACCAAAAAAAGAAAACAAATGAAGTAAAAATTTGATTTTGTTCTGTTAAAACTAATTGTAAAAGTGAAGCTTGTAAGCCGCATAAAAAGAAAAGAAAAAAATATTTAATTAAATACTAAAAGTCATTACTATAAGTTTAAATAATATTTAGTTAATAAGCCAAACAAACACACACACACAATTTATAATGCATATTAAATTTGTTTTGTATATGCGAGTGGAACACATAACTAATATAATAGATTGAAACCGAAAAGATAAAAACCTGCAGAACCTTTATATAAATATTGTATAATACTAATACTAAATTATTTTGTTATACAAAACGAGAAAAATGCATTCAACGTTTTTTGTAATTCTATTAAAATAAAACAATTCAAACGTGAAATAAACATTTACAAAAAATATTAATAACAAAATATGATAGTTGTTTTCATAAGAGCCCTTTAAATTAAATTAATTACAGCCTTAAGCAAATATTTCTATAGATCAATCGGAGACGATAATTTGCATGTATCCAATAAAGGAAATATGTGCATATTTCACCAATTTCTTTTAAATTTATCGACCATCTGTTACCTGTTTTATTATACCCTGAGCTCATTTAAAATGGGAAATCAGGGTGTAAAGTTTTTGTGAAAAAGTATGTAAGAAGCAGAAGGAATCATCGCAGACCCCATAAAGTATATATATTCTTGATCAGCACGACGA